TGTGATATGGGAGAACTAGCAAGAACAAGACGCGGACAGCGGCAAGTCCCACGTCCTAGTGTTTTTGCTGCAGTCATTATATTTGCAAAAGAAAGGAGCGTGGAGAGAGGATGGGAGCATAGCCAAGGTAGCCTCCACATACTGACGCGCAAATGCTCGGGGAAAAGGCTGCTCCTGGCTGCGCCTACGACTGCATTCATACTTGCAACGCGGTGTTCTGGAAGAATCGGCGTTCTGAGCGAAAAGCATGGGTATTGATAAGGGCTCAAAACGCCTATTCTCTGCGAACGCTCAAAACGTGATTCTATCAAAACGCTCGATCACCCCATACCTATGGCACTTCCTTTAGTACTGCGTTTATACTTTGTGGCGCCGTAGCGTAGCGCTTGCCAGCCTTTCACTTATCCAACCTAGCGTTTCGCTAACTGCGCTTGAGCACGCACGCTAGAGAGTATAGAAGAGTAGGAGAGTATTTTGTACTCTCCTACTCTTCTACACTCTCTAGCCCTGCCGCTGCAAGCGCTAGCGAAACGCTAGTGAAACGCTCGTGAAACGCTGGTAGCGCTAGATCGATACCTATACATCCCGTGCCCTCGCTACGCTAGCGTACGCTGGTGACGCTGGGAACGCTAGATCGATATCTATCCTTTCCCCGACACTGCCGCTGGCGTACGCTGGAAGCGCTACGCTACGCTGCCGCAAAGTATAAACGCAGCCTTATCGCTCAAAACACTGAGTCGTCTAAATGCCGAACTGCAAAGTATGAACGCAGCCTAGCAAGTAGTCGCCGAATAAGTCTCTAAGTAAAAAATCCCTCTCCTTACCTTTTGCATATGAGCCTTATAAAGGGTGCGGTCGATTTGTGCACGAAGTCCAAGAACAGCAGGGCCTTGTCCGGAGTTTAATGCTGAACGAGGATGAATTTATCCAAGAAATGCCTCAGTTTCAGCTAGCAGTACCCTGATAAGTGATAGCAGACTGATCACAGATGCGACCGCATAAACCATCTAGAGCATCCACCTCACGAATTAGATGGCCTTAACTGGAACTCTTAGCTGTGCAAAATAACAAACTCTGGATAAATGCAGTTCAGGTACAAGTAATGTACATACGTTGATAGCGTTGCAGTTAATCGAAGCGGGTCAGGAAACAAGGAATGAGCCCACGCGAGGCGTTTCCTACCATTGGCTGTTTTCTTTCCAAATCGATCACCAACCGATCACTATTGGTCGAAAAAGCTGTTAGGGGCGGACTCATTCTGCCTCCACTGACACCATCACGAATGGCTGCGACGATATCAACTACGAGAAAACTATGAGTCTTACTAACGTACCCTTCCCAATTCCGCCAAAACTCGGATTGCAACTCATTTCTCCTATCGTATTCCTGTTATGGGTGAGAAGTATCGTTCTGGCACCACATCTAGCCGCCGCTGCAGCTCCTTCGCACCCTGCATGACCACCGCCTAAACACTGATGCAAATTAAAAGGCTAAATAAATAGAAAAGCTGGAGCAGTTCGGTTTGGTGGGCAGTGCTCACCCAAGCTTGTATTTACAAGCAGAAGACCCGTTAATTTCTGTAGCCAAAGTGATTCACCTATACTATTTCTCAGTTCACGGGAGGTTACAGGTCTCAGCAAAAGGAGAGCCTGTTAGAAAGAACATGAAGTAGCAAAAAGAGCTGGGGGAATGTACAAAATGCCCCTCCCAGCCCGAACAGTGCTGAAATGCTCATGCAGGCGCGATGCAGAACAGCTGTCGA